TATTAAAAATAAAAAATGGTAATTTTAAATAGCATAATAAATAAATAAAATAAATTATCTTTTATTATGTAATATAAAATAAAAAATAATCTATTAATACTACTAACCTTTGATGTGTATATATATATTATATAAAATTAGTAACTGGTATAACTGATAGACACTTGAGTATACACCCCATGCTTAGGACTTGTTTGTTTTAATTTAGGGTTAGTAGATTTTCATGAGTGTTGGCGACTAAAATAAAGATGAGTTCTCCATGTCAACACCTTTTCTCAACAATTACATGGCACGTAGCATGTCCACCATAAAAACATGACCCAAGTCTTATATGAGTTGTAAAGACGTGTTAAGTGATGTGTAAATTACATGAAAAGAGGAAGACAAAACTTTAATGAATGCTTAGAAATTGATGTTAATTCCGGGTCAAATAAACCCATAAATCGTGTAATACAAGGGCTTAAAGTCTCATATATATTTAAGTATAGGGGCAAAAGGCCATAAACCATACAAGCTGAGGAGCAATTTAGGGGATTATTTCCATAAAATCCACATTCACGTTCACGGGTTTTGTCTAAAAAGGGTAAAAAGGCCATAAACCATACAAGCTGAGGGGCAATTCAGGGGATTATTCCCATAAAATCCACATTCACGGGTTTTGTCTAAAAAGGGTAAAAGGCGATACGGCGTTTCTCATTCACGGATCTACCAAACCTTGAAAGCCATTATTGACTACAGTGCTTCTTTTTTTTTTAAATGATACTCTTTGTTTGTTATAAAAGTAAAAAATAAATAAATAAACACAAATTTTCATCAGTATCCAAATTCGGAGAGATATAGATCACCGAATTCAGAGAGACGGAAATAAAAAATGGAGGGGATAGAGCACAGAACTGTGAACGTCAATGGCATAAACATGCACGTAGCAGAGAAAGGCAAAGGTCCGCTGATTCTTTTCATCCACGGATTCCCGGAGCTCTGGTACTCCTGGCGCCACCAGATCCTCGCTCTTGCCTCTCTAGGCTACCGTGCCGTGGCTCCTGACCTCCGTGGCTACGGCGACACCGACGTACCGGATTCAATCGGCAGCTACACTTGCTTCCACTTGGTCGGCGATCTCATTGCTCTTCTCGATGCTATCGCTGTGGACCAGGAGAAGGTGTTCGTTGTCGGCCATGACTGGGGCGCAATCATTGCTTGGTATTTGTGCTTGCTCCGGCCGGACAGAGTCAAGGCTCTGGTGAACTTAAGCGTACCGTATCTCCGATTTGATCCAACAAAGAAGCCCGTCGACGCCTGGAGAGCTGCTTATGGCAACGACTATTACATCTGCAGATTTCAGGTCATATTTCGTTTCATTTTAATTTCAAATTTGTTTTTCTTAGTTGCAGATCTGAGGAATCAATTATTAAAGATAATCCAAAATATTGATTAATTGATTAAAGAACGTAATTACAGGAGCCACGAGAAATCGAAGCAGATTTTGCACAGATCGGAACGGAGAAACTTATGAAGGAGCTCCTGGCATTCAGAGTTCCAGGTCCTCTCCTTTTTCCTAAAGGTAAACCGTTCGGACATCCTCCGGAGAGTCCCGTCGTTTTGCCTTCCTGGTTGTCAGAGGAAGATGTCAAGTACTACATTGGCAAGTTTGAGCAGACAGGTTTCACTGGAGGTGTCAATTATTACAGGAACTTGAATCTGTATGTTTTTATTCTAATTTCTTATACCAGCTAGTCGTAGTTTCTTTATTTTGAAGTTACTTTGCCACCATTTTTGGATTTGATGGACTATGAATATGTTCAGAAACTGTGAATTGTTGGCGCCGTGGGTGGGAAGTCAGATCAAGGTACCGGTGAAGTTTTTGATCGGAGATCAAGATCTTGTCTATCATATGCCGGGAATGAAGGATTATATTCACAACGAAGGTGGATTCAAGAAAGATGTGCCATTGCTGGAGGAAGTGGTTGTTATGGAAGGAGTTGCTCACTTCATCAACCAAGAGAAAGCGGACGAGATCAATAACCACATTTTTAATTTTTTCCAAAAGTTCGTTTAAAAGTTGCCTAGAACAATTTCACGATCCTTGTGTGTTAATTGTTCTTATTTCTGCTTTCTCTTGAGAATAAAGGTTGAGTTTGACTAAGAATTCATCAAATTGAGTGGGAATACTGAGTGTAACCGACCATTGTTACGACTCACGAATAAAAAAATCTGTTCTAAATTCAGTAAATTATGTTTTCATGTTACTTCTTGGGTTTTACATTTTTGGGATTTCTTATTATTGTAAACTTCTGTTCTCCATTAAACAACTTAACAAAAGAAATGAACTTCTTAAT